CCTAAAATGTGAAGGTATGTCAGAAAATAATCGAAAAAAAATTCAAAAATTCATGTAAAAAAAAGTACCCGTAGAAAAAATTTTTCTTGCGATTTTCGTTTTAGTAGGCGAAAATACATAAGAAAAAAATTGTAGCATTTAATGTACATTTTTTTTTTATTTTGTAAACTACATAGTGTAATTAAATTCTAAAGAAAAATGAGCGCTTTTGCATTATCAGGACATGGAGGTGCGACATCAACTCGTATTCATTTTGCATTAATTTCTTGTACAGATAGTTACCTACAATATAAAAAAAAGAATTGTCTCGATATAATGAAAATTAACGTAGTTGTACCCATTTAACGCGGACAAATAAATTTAACTTAAACATTCACTGTTTGTGAATAATTGATAAATAAAATAAGGTCATCGCGTGTGCATATCTGTGCGTACGTGTGTGTATATGTAATGTGTGTTTATATATACATTGAATAAATGCTGAACAGTTACAGGCTTGAATTTTATGTACGTTGATAAAGATGAACATTCTAATGCGAAACTGAATTATTCATAAGTGTTTCCGATGTTCGCAAACAGTACTAAAAAAGTGTAGCGATAAACCAGAAAGAACGTTGCAAGTTTTACTGTCCTCGTATCTTATCAACCCACCACTGGGAGAGTTGAATATATTTCATTGACTTCCGCCAAGAAGACTGCAACGAGCTTTTGCAATTTGCAAGCAATTCGAGGTTTTATTGCTCCCCGTTATTGCAGACGTTCGATCGGCTGCTGAATATGTATACAATTTTTTTTGTTAACGGAAAAAAATTGGCACAAGCTCGTAGCACCGATGTGAAAAATGTTGCCAACAAATTGCAACGTCGAATCAAACCATATTCATTTACCGCGACTACGGGTTTGCCGAATTGTGCAAGGTTTCTCAAAAAAGCTTTACAATTTTGTACGATGATAAATATGGAGAGTTTATTATTTTTCAAATGGTATTCACATACGGAGGCTTGTATTAATATTCGGATACAATTATTCATTATTACAATGTACATCAAATCATAAAAATAAGAATAGTTTTTGTTATGTAAAATGTATATTATATGTTGTGTATGTATGTATATATTATGTTTGACAAAAATACAAATTTTATGTATTTAACATGTTGAATTGGTAACGTAACAAACAACTGACTAAACAGCTTATTATTCCTGCGTTGTTTTAATATTCGGATGGTTACAAAATTCTGATGGTGTACATGAAAAATATGGCCTATGTGTGTTCGATATGTTACGTTCTCGTTCTAAATTTCCTTATTTGGAGTCGGATGTGCGCACCCGGTATTCTTCGCGTAAGCATATGAATTCGAGACCAATGCGAAGCTAGGGCGTAGTCCCTCGGAAATCTCGGAATCGTGCAATGTACTTCCCCGCCACCCCTTGGCCTATGATTTTTGGGTATAAAATGAGTGACGACGAAGGCATATCGGGTCTAGTCAAAATCTAGAAAGGGTTCCGTACACGTCTGTGCGTGCTCTTACGATATTTTTACACGAGGAAACTTAGTGAGATCGGGTTCAAGTCTCCTTCGAGCAAATTTTAACCATACAGTACGTAGTCTACTGTTAAGCATTTATTTTATCGTTGTAGTCGTCCCCCGTTACTCGCGTTCGTGAAAACCGAGAAGGATTAGATTCTAGCTTCGCGGAATCGAAACTATATTTTTAAACTCAGTTCATATTTGTAACATTAGCTTACCATTAGTACACCGCGACAATTACTCTTATAACAATTGTATGTCCCGGTGCATATCAGAATATATATATTATCATTTTTAATTAGTGTTGATCAATTATAATACCAAGTCCAGTACCCACAAAGGTGTACCTTTGCCGTTCGAAGTACATCAAAAACTGTTACGAGGCCTAATACTAACATTTCCTGCGACTCCCCACGTTAGCCATACGTGGATTCGTCCGAATATCACCTTCCTGAGGCTCCCTACGTTAGCCATACGTGGGTTCGTCCTCGATAACCAACTTCCTGGAGCTCCCTACGTTAGCTATACGTAGGTTCGTTTCCGCGTCTACTTCCTCAAGGCACCCAGTGTTGCCTAACAACACTGGTCAAGCCATTAACAAAAAACCATATTCCAATAGAAAACCCCGGTTACGCAGCCGCCCCCTCCGGCTCGTAACAGATAAATTAACATATTGATATTTTGTCGGATAGCCTTTTTGTTTAGTTATACGTCGCAATCGATTATGCATGTTTTAAGTAATTTTGTTAAGTAATTAACTGTAATACAGTTCCATTATTCCAATAATCGTTATTTAATTCTTCTTTTGTTTTGATTGGTGTTGATAACCATAAATCCAAAAATTCTTAATACATTTTATACGAATTTAAGGATTTTGTTCGGGCTCCGTAGGTGGAGAGCAATAGGCTTTACAACCAAAGATTGCGAGAGCGTTCGAACGGCTAGAATCTGTTTATGTAGACGCCAAGTACATGAAAAATTATAAAGCCACACCATTTATAACGTGGCGCTACCGCTATCTTTTACTCGTAAAACTGCGATTTCAACCTAACCTGAAACTTCTTTCATTAATATCTCATCACGCCTGCAATATTTTCTAAATATAAAGGCATTTTTCTGATGTAAATAGCATATAAGCTTTCTAATAAAACCAAAATCAAACAAATCGGTCCACGATCAACTGAGATATCGTAATATCATGTTATGAAGCTGTCAGAAACGGCAGTGTTCTTGTTGTTCTTATTCTTATCCTTCAAGGAATTTTTCGTCAACCCTTAGCCAATCGGAGCTAAGGCCATCCGTCGATTCGTCAACTCCTGGAATCAGTCGGTAAGGCTCGTCGGCCACCATAAGAAATACTTGTGTACAGGGTGTCCCAAACATGTTGGAGTTCCTTGAATGGGGTGGTTCGGGAGGTGATTTGAAACAACTTTTTTCTTTGCGAAAATGTCGAATGTGGCTTCGTTAAGCAGATATTAACAAAAAACCCCGACCAATCACAGCGCGCGTATACCGTTGGAGCGGCCGCGGTAGCGAAGGCTACGCGCTAGGCGGCCGCGCTCGTACGCGAACAAGTGGCAAGGAATCGCAGTACCTGTCGTCATAGATTCTACGCATACTCAAGCAGCAGATTTTACGACCGCAAAAGTACGTTTGTATCAAGCTTTGCTTTATTTTGTAAGCACCATTTTATTTTGCTCTAACTAAATGAAAGAACTTATCTCCTATGTTATGCACATCATTTTGTAGCTCTTGAATTGCTCTTCCATGTCGCGTATTAAATACTACTAAACAATTACATATTTTTCATTTTATCAATTTACAAAAATCCTAGGAAAAAATTGGAACTTATTAGAAAACAACATAGGAAGAAGGAAAACAATCGGAAAAATCTTCTGGTTCACTCTAATTATTGTTCTAAAATTAATATAAATTGTTTAGGGTGTGAAGAATTTAACGGAGGATTTCTCTAAACGTGGACAGCCCTTAATTTTTCATAATCTAAAACAGCTTTATCGAAATTTTCAAGGGCGTGAAACCTTCCGGTTTAAGGTGTAGTTCGAACGAACTCGAACGTAACGACTGCCTCAAAGGTAACTAAAATGTCATTAATTATCCAACATGTTTTAAAAGTCTAATATCAATTAGTTAATGCTGATTAATAATGGTTCAATTTATTTATTCATACTAATATCAAAGTTAGATATTATACGATACATAGAAATTGAAAAAGTCAAGACATCGCGTATGTATAAAATGGCCCACCTAGTATGAGTTCACCAAGAATAACTTATAAATGATGTATTATATGATAATTGCAAAAGTTGTATAGTTTCTGTGAGAGTTGGTTTTAGTATGCGTGGAGAGTGAGTTAGGTTGGTATGCGTGGAGAGTAAGTTAGGTTGGTATACGTAGAGAGTGAGTTAGGTTGCTATGCGTGTGAGGAAAAAAATGTACTCCCGTGCCTTGTATGTGCTCGTACGCACTCGCACAGCTCTACATCACTGTATACGTACACGAAACTGCAAGGGCTTGCGTATTGTCCTATTTTTGTCTCGACAATGCAAATTTGAGACCTCTCAATAGTCGTTTCCGCTAGATAAATGTTCAAACTTGTGCGCAAGCTCATATAGGTAGTCTACTTTTGCTTTTTTGTGTTATAATTAATAATATTTAGCAGTATTTCGCGATCAAAAGAAGCAATATGGTGGTGCGACAGTGCTGCCGCGTTGTCTGAGCTAACCATTGAGCTCTATCCTAACTGGAGTGTGAACTGTGAGAGAGAAGCCGGTCCGAGAGAGATGCAAGATGAGTGATTCCGGTGGTACTATCCTATAGCAAATTTATGTGTGAAGGGAGAACAGACTCTTCTTTGTTTGAATTTCGCGGCACTAGGAATTATTTACAGATTAATTATGTACAGATTTGAACTTTATTTCCTTTTTATTTATATGTAAAACGATAGAAACATTAATAATAATGACATATTAATGAAATAGTATACATAATTTACATAGCATAATTTAGATCATACAAATATATGTAAGTTTGACACCTTTTCAAACTTGGTCACCTACACGTCTACGTCATGTACGTAACTAAAGGTGACTGAGTAACGCTCATTAGAAACAACATACCGGCAGCGAGGCATTCGCTGGTCAGCCATTACGTGGCACAGTTCCGACAAACTAAACAGCTACTGTAAAGCCGGAAACATACTTAAATCGAGATACCGACATTGTGTTGATTCAGGTGCGGTATTAGCTTTAAGGTAGTTTTAAGAGTTATTCTAATTGTAAGTGAGAGTTTATATCTGAATTACAGTGATTATTTACTGCAACAACAAGGGTCAATTTATTTTCCACGCCACTCTGCCAAGTTTAATAACCCTCTGATTTCGAGGCTTATATATATACAATTTGGTATAGAGCTAAATTTTATTATTTCTCACAATTCAATTTATATTGTATTTATCCAATTTTATGCGGAAAAGAATCTGAAAGTAACTCACTCGACAATGCTCAGCGATGCTCGGGTAAGTTATGTTACGGCGTACGTTTGTTCCCCCTCTACAAATAAATTTGCTATAGGATAATACCGTAACCACCCATTTTGCATTTCTCTCGGACCTCCGTCGCCTCTACTTCTTGCTACAGTTGTTCACACTCCAGTTAGGATAGAGCTCAATGCGTTTGACAGGTACAGATTAGAGTGAGGAATAGCTGGATGCAGGTTATTAAGACAGAAGAAAAAAATTTCACCAGATGCTGCAAGAAATAATCCACAAGAGACAGTAATGTTGCCTTGTAATACGTGTGTGCACGCATTAAAACCATAATAGTAGTTTTACCAGTGCGACATATTTTTTACCTATTACAACAAGAAGAAGAGCATATAAAATCATCAATGAAACAGTAAGTAAAATCCACAATTAAAAGTAGATAGTGTTTACCATTATTTGATAAGTAGTTGTGTGCGCTTAAAGTATATGTACTATCGTTGTAAATTCTTGTGCGTTTTCTGTTTCCACAGCCTTTGATTGATCTAAGCAGCTACAGTCATTCCAATAAGAAGAATCGAAGGGATGAATTGCTTATTGGATATATAAATATATATTCACTTTCATTAAAAAACTGTTCTTTTCCTAATTGGGGAGACTCGGAAGTGTCACCAAAAAATACATTAAACCCGATGTCAAGCTAATTTTAAAGTGACAAGTCGATTTTTGTTGAAAAATATTGATTTTCACCTAAAAACGTCCGCTTTTCTGCATTCAAACGTCATTTTCTCCCTAAAATACCACCGTAGAATTTTTTTCGACAATACCCTTCAAAAGCTAAGACTTCAAGGAAGTTTTTCCTGAGGAGTGCCCGCCAAACAACTATGTATTTAAAACTGAAAAACGGATAAAGAAAACATCAAATTTGTTAAAATTGTCACAATGTAAAGTTTGATCTAATTTTGCACTTATTAAACCTACGTAATAAACTTTGCATCAGGGAGATGAGAAATTTAACGCTTTTTCGAAAGGTGTACTGATTTTTAAGTTTGCACTGTAATTTAGTGGAATTGTGGCCGTTTAAAGAATGTCAAGAAGAAAACACAGAAAAAAAATTAAAGATGAAAATACTCGAGAATAAAGCGACACAAAAAAATGTCTAAGAGTAATTTTTTGTAGGAAATTTATGTAGAATTGACACGCTGCGTATGTCCGGACATATACATAGACATTCTGTATACATAAAATATAAAAACTATTTAAAGTCATTCGCTATGCGAATTGTCTTTGTAAAAAGAAGTGAGATCCTCATAAAAAAACTTCAAAAAAGTAAAAACATTACGCCAAGTACATAAAAAAGTGGAAGACTCAAGGAGTTATCATAGAAAAATAAAAAATCCCATAAAAAGCTACAAAAAAGTAGAGAAAGATGTGAAATCGAAATGAGCTGCGTGGCGAGGCAAGGCATTCTGAGATTATCAATACCCATAGTTTCTCTCTCACAGACTATCAGATAAATTGTCAATTTAAAACTCTGGCAATATTATATGGACACTTTCATTGTATTGGGTTTTAATATATCTCTAAGATCATTCATCGATGCCAATACCTTTACTCTCGCAAGCTTTCAGATAATTCGTCAGTTTCAAGCTCTGACAATATGAGTACACTTTCATTATTTTGCGTTTTAAAATAATTCTTATTCATCGACACCTTGACCTTGGCCGACCACGCCAAGCATTTGACTTCCAGGCCGCGGAAATCTAGGCAAATGTCTAAACAGTCTCAGTTTGTAGTTGATACACTATGTAGCTTCTTCATTTCACCGCCAAAGTGCGGAGCAGTCAGTTTACATGAATTGCCATTAGAGTCTGAACGTCTGCACTGTTGAACACAGCATTTTAGTTGCGCATAGTTGGAAAGCACCGAATTTGATGTTATGTTACACAGTGTCACCTTGCACTTTACTGGAAAGGACCCTCATGTACTGGCTGGTCATTTCGATTTCACATCTTTGTCTACTTTTTTTAATTTTTTTCAAAGGATCTTCTATTTTTCTATGATTACTCTTTAAGGCCTTCACTTTTCATTGTACTTGGTGTAATTTTTTTACTTTTTTGAAGTTTCGCGTTACAACCCAGTATTAGGGCAATCGGTAGAGAATTAAAACAGCGTGTTTGTGACAAAAATAGTAACAGCAAACCGATTGTGCGGTTACATAAAAAGGGATGCGTAAGTTAATAGGTACATTGATGGACATAATTATACGACACCCCATTTATTTAAAAAAAAAAAAATATGTATAAGCTTGTATACGTAGCGTAAATGATGATGGGATGAAAGAGTACTATTCGCGAATTTCATCACAATATTAATAAACACAAAGCGTCGAAGCATTTCCAAGAATTGCAATGTTTGGTTTCTTCTGTAGGACAAAATTAAAAGACATTAATGTTAGTCGACTACAGACAGTCGTTGAATCTACATGCATTTGTGTGTTTCGTACTGTGAATTCTCTATTATAGTGATTTTGTTAGTATAAAATAGAAAAACATTAAAACTAAAATCATACCATGTGGTAAAGTTCTAACTGAAGAGGGAAAAATAGAAATCTTTCAAAGAAGAGCAAAAGGAGAGAATTTAAAACAAATGTCACTAAAAATGAAAAGAAGTAGGTGTGTAATTCGTAATTTTTTAAATAATCCAAAAAATTACGGAAAAAAGAAGAGATCTGGAAGACAATCATCCCTTACTTTAAGAGATAAAAGAGCAGTTTTAAGGTGTGCATCAACTCTTATACCTAGGCAAATTTTAGTAGAATGTGGGATAGAAGTATCTGCATTTTAGCTGCGCATAGTTGGAGAGCACCGAATTTTACATTGTGTTACACAGTGTCGCCTTTGCACTTTATTGGAAAGGACCTTCATGTACTGGCAGCTCATTTCGATTTCACATCTTTTTCTACATTCTTGTAGTTTTTTATGGTGGTCTTCTATATTTCTATTCTAAATCCTTGAGTCTTTCATTTCTTCACGTACTTGGGGTTTTTTTTTTTTTACTTTTTGAAGTTTTTTATGGAGATATTTTGTACTCGAGTGTGTACACGTAATGCACGTTCATGCGTTCTGCCCGTTGTGCGTTTCGGTAGCGGTACTTATGCGCGGCGCTCTCCACTTTCGCTAGTGAGACGCTACGCGCGTAGCGTAGCCCTCGTCCTGGCCTAGCGGCAGCCAGCAGAACTATCCCTGTGAGGGAAGACAGCGCGCAATACCGAAAGGGAGAGGATCGCACCTAACTCTTACGTTACAAAACTGTATCTACGAAATCTCTTCATGTTGAAGATACATATACAGATTGTCCCGGGTCTCGATAGACAAACTTGGTGAGCAGATTTGGTGAGATTTCATTTCGATTGGTCAAGCCATCTCGGCGTAATCAGGGAACATACATACATTTTAAAAAAATATGTACGTGTCGTATTGAGTAACCTTCTCTTTTTCGAAGTCGGTTAATAAAAAGTAACGATATGTTTATATAAAACACATGCTCCTTCAATTTATCTTTTACGATCGCCCGAATAAACAACTCGCATGACAAAATACCCTTTAAGACTGGATCCACGTTTTCACTTTGTTTCTCTCGTATATGTAAAGTAATTTACTTTACCACACAACAAAAATAAAGTAAAATATATTACTTTTCTTCTCCACTTACAGTCAGGTTCTCATAACTCGTAGGTTTTCTGATGTACTCTGCCAAATTAAAAATTTCTGATAACTATATCACCTCTCCGATGTTTATTCTCTTCGCCTCGGTCTCCAATTTAAAGAAAATGGAAAAAATACTGAATAACAATATTGAAGCATCCTACTTGCCTCCACCCTCGCTTCAGGATGACATCGATAGCTTCGGAGCCATTCTCGTGTATGTACATGCGTGTGCACATAAATCTACCAGAAGTTGAATCCTCGGTACATAAAACTCTAAACTCGATCGACGGCAGTGTATCAATCAATAAAACGTCACTTTATTCGAAAACGCTAAGCGTGTGCACGCCGACAGGTAATCTATCCAACTGTCAAGCTACGTTATTTCGATCAAACGTGCAGATCCTAGTTCCTGCATTTTTTCTATCGAACCTAAAGCTAGTCGAGCATTGATTTTCCCCGAAGGGACCAATTTCCCCGTGTGCGCGACGTGCCAGGGTTATACATCGTCCTGGTCTCTGGAAGAAAGGAAGTCGTGCGGCAGGAAATGTGGTACGCCCACCCTGGATATTACTTCCTTCTGCCTGTTGCATAGAATCGATCTTGGCATCGATGCACGAACCATCTTACAGAGATTTTCATTTACTTTTCGAAACTGTGTGTTCCGGCCTACCAGCAAGAATGATAAGTTCCGAACTTAAAAGGCAGGAAGTTATGGCCGTTTAAAGAGTGTACATTCGAAAACACAGAACAAAAATTAAAAGTGAAAATACTCCTAAATAAGGGGTTTCTAGAAAAATGTCTAAGAGCAATTTTTTGTTGGACATTAGTTGTATAATTGACTCCTTGCGTTTGTCCGGACTTAACTGTAGACACGCTGTATATACGACCGTCGCAGTTAAAATAATGGCATAGTAAATGTGAAACAAAAAACTAGTTCAGAAAATAAAAAAAAATTATACATTAAATGCTACAATTTTTTTCTTATGTATTTTGGCCTACTAAACTCAAAAATCGCAAAAAAAATTTTTCTATAGATAGGTTCTTTTTATATGATTCTTTGAATTTTTTTTCGATTATTTTCTGACATACCTTCACATTTTAGG